TTGTACTAATCTAGTAATCCAAGTTTGTATTGATTAATTAAAAACTTCCTCAGAACCGATCAAGCCATTGTTATATAAGTTGATTATAATGTACGTTGTAACATGCATTCATGTGCCTTCGGTTACAGTCTGATTTATAATATGATACTACGTACCCACGACCAAATAACCATGTGGTACTAATATGAGCCATCGTAGCAATCAAGTTCTTATCGTAGGCTCGCTTCAGCACTTGTAGTGCTCTTCTTTCGAATATTGATTAATATTAGTGCTAGCCATTGATTAATATTTTCTTGTATATATACAAGAAATATGTATATTGATTGTTAAAAAATGACATAGATGGATTAGCTATATGGTGACAATTATAAATGATTTTCTGGAAAATATGATAATTGAAGAGTTAATAGATAAATTTATTTCAAAATATGCTACAAAGAAATTATTCCCTTTAAAATAAAAAATATTGAGATCATTTCAATTTTCTTGTACTTGAAAAATTAGACAATGTCTCGATTCTAGAATAGGTGTCAACAATTTATTTGATTGTCGTTATAAAACAAGTCAAATCAGCCTAAAATTCATTCCAATCTAGTTTGCAACTTCTAGGCCCCACAATGCTCCACAACATATATAGACAAACTCCTCCAACCCTCTTAATCATCTCTAATGCCTCATTTAAGTTTAGTATAATTTTGTTATTGTTGTGGTTGCAGTACTATTGTGACAATAGAGGTATAATCACAATCCCAAAAAGTAGTTTTTGATTACAATAAAGAAATTACTTAAAAAAAATTCACTGAAAGAGTCGATTTATATTGTATTGTCTTGTACTCTTATTGGAGACCAGATCATGCCAGTATCCTTCCTATCAGTAATTGTCAGTAATCCAATTATCTGTCCACGTGTCAGCCTTTTTTTTTATTTAAATTAAACACGGAGGGACACTAAGGTAAATTGCACCCCCTATTTAATGCTGACGCTGACGGTCTGACGTTGACGCGCTGACGCTGAATTTTTGACCAGGCGCGGATTCCCACTCCCCCACCCCACACTGGTTCCCCTCTTTCTCACTCTTTGTTTTGTTTTATTATTAAAAGAAAAAATACGTTATTTCTTCTCTCTCCCATCTACAACAAAAATGAATCTAACCATCCTAGCTATCTCTGTTCTAATTCCAACTCAAATTGAATGATGATTTTTTCGTTTAATAATTCAGTGCTAAAGATACTAATTACAAGTATAAATATGATTATCACTTTCTACTATCATGGTAAAACATGGTAAAATATATTGAACAAAATTAAAATTCTAACTACCATACAATACCACATGGTAAAACGTGGTAAAAAATGGTAAAATATGTTGAAGAAAATTACAAATCTAACTACCACACAATACCACATGGTAAAACGTGGTAAAATATGATAAAATATGTTGAAGAAAATTACAAATCTAACTACCATACAATACCACATGGTATAACGTGGTAAAACATGCTACAGAAATTTACAAATCTAATTACCATGCCATACCATATGGTATAACATGCTAAAATAAAATTGCAAATCAAACTACCACCACATGGTATAACTTGGTAAACCACGCTACAGAAAATTATAAATCTAACTAGCATACAATACCACCATAGTAGAACATGGTAAATCGAAGGACCACAAATTTATTATAATTACCATATAATACCACATGGTATGAGAAGGTAAAACCATATAAATCTAATTATAACCCTCTACGACCATAGTAAAAACATGATATTCATAAAAATACATTTCGTTACAACACATTACCATATGGTATAGACACATTATCATATGGTATAGTGTGGTAATCTCAATATATATATATATATATACAATTACGACTAGGGCTGGTAACCGGTTAGCCGGTTAACGGTTTAACCGGTAACCGTACCGGTAACCGGCGGTTACCGGTTAAACCGTTAACCGGCGGTATCGGTATACGGCAGACGAAACTGAGCTGTCGGTATACCGACCCATATCCGGTAAGTACCCGCCGGTTACTCGGTATAACCGAATATACCGACAGAAGCAAAAACTCCTCCCTCTATTAGTCTATTTCGATCATTCACTCCACCTGTCCCCTCATCTCTCCATCTCCCTCAAACTCTCTCTTCCTCCCACAAACAGAACATTCACAGTGAGAGATTCTTTGAAACCCCTTCCTCTATTTCTCGATTTTTTTATCTCGACCATGGTGTCGCCGCTTCGTCATCGTCAAAGGATGCGCCGTCGACGGAGAGAGGGCAAAGAGCGATGGGTTTGCTGCTCGCCCAACCACCGCCTTTCTCCACTGCTCTGCCGCCGTCGCCGCTGTCGTGGTGAAGAACCCAGAACCCGATCCGGCGCCTCGCTCTCCCTCTCGAACCCAGAACCCAATCCGGCGACTCCCTCTCCCTCTAGATTCCAGATCCGACGCCATGCAACCTCCCTCGTGCGGCGGATCTCTCTTCCTCCCGAGGTCAGATTCGGCAAGATGCAGTCTCCTCCCGCAGCGATTCTCAGTAGTCAGCCCGTCTAGATTCCATATCTGAAGTCTCCAGCGGCGATTCTCCTCCCTCTATTCCAGATTCGGCCATACAAACTTCCTCGCGCGGCTGCTCTTTTCCTCTCATGGCCAGATCCGGCGCCATGTTGTCTCCCTCCAGCGGCGATTCGCCTCCCTCTGTTCCAGATTTGAAGCCGCCACCGGAACACAATGGTGCCCACCACCGCCAGAAAATCAGAGCTTCAATCTCTCCTTACCCGGCCATACCGGGTAACCGGTAACCGACTATTCGGTAACCGGTAAACCGAATATTTTCCGGTATCGGTAGTCGGCGACACTTTGTCATGGTTCGGTATACCTATAACCGGTTATTCGGTAACCGGTTTACCGGTAACCGACCGATTACCAGCCCTAATTACGACCTTCTTCTCTCCCTTCATTGTCTTCTAATTCTTTTTTCTCGGAACTAGTGTCGATTACCACCCACTACCACCATGATAAACTCGTGACTATAAAAATACATTTAGTTAGCACACATTATCATATGGTATAGTGTGGTAATATCAATATATATTCTCAAAGAAGGGGAAAACAAAAGGAGGAAGAGAGAAAAAAACTCGTCTTCTGTCTCCTCTCATTTACTCCTCCGCAATCAAGAACACCAAATGCAAAAAGAAAGAAAAAAGAGGAGGAAGATCGGAATTGAAAATTCACAAACAAATACTAAAACACAAAAGATACAAACTCTACTCACCTAGATCTGTCCCCTCTTTGACAATATGGAGCGTCATCTATTTTGAGGTCGAGAAAAGAAAAAACAGAATGAAAGAGGAGTTTGAGAGAAGAAGGATTTGGAGCGTCACCGGATTTGAGGTGGGAGGCTGCAATTTTTCTTCGTCGATTTTTGGAGAGAAAAAAAATGAAGAACAAGAGAAGAAAGAAGATTTAGATGTGGAAAAAGGAGTTTGGAAGAGAGAAAGAAAGAGAGAAAGAGAAAAGGGAGAGGAAGAGAGAGTTTGTTTTTCTCTTTCCTCTATTAAAAAGACAACATATAAATACTGGAAAAAATAAAAAAGGAAAAAGAATTAAATTTCAAAATTGGACAAAAATGCCCCTCCTCACTCCGCGTGCAGCCCAGCCATATGATGATTCTGCCCCTAGATCTACGGTCTTGGTTTAGTTACTGACATGTCAGTAACCATTGATTACTGACTCTATCTTAGACCCTCTTATTGCCACAAAAACATATCAAAACAAAACGAAACTAATATGTTAGTGAATGGTATATATCCACGATTGAACCTCTCCCAACAACTCGAGTTATTGGGATAGAGTGGTTCTTGACATGGTATTAGAGCTGGTTTGTCCTTGAGGTCACTTGTTCTAGTCCCCACGACCCCCATTATTAACCGTTGTCTTTCAAGCACATGGTATGGCGGGCCTGTGCAAACTTCAAGCCCATGAGTCGACTTTCGTTTGAGGGGGCGTGTAAGGAAGTGGTTAAGTACCATACATGGGCATGTATAATATTCAGCATAACCTTCTCCCAACAACTCGAGTTATTGGGACCAACTGGTTTATGACATTGTATCAGAGCCTTATGTGACCGAAATGTCTTGTGTTCGAATCCCGGTGACCCCATTTGTGAAGCACATGATATCGTGTATTCAGACATATGCAAACGAAAGCCCTTGTGAGGTGACTGGCTTTCATTTGAGGGAGGTGTTAGTGAATGATATATGATCCACGATTGAACCTCTCCCAACTACCCAAGTTATTGGGATCAAGTGGTTCTTCATATAATCAATCAATCAAGTGGCCATAAAAATAACGATTGCTATAGCAAAAAATATGATCACCACTAGGCAGAGGACGTCTGAAACGTATGAAATACTTTCTTCCGTACTTAAAATCTTTCTTTTGTGTACCTTGGGGTTGTTATTTGCTAAAATAACGTAAACCATATAGTTGTTCCTTTCTTTCTTGTTTAATAGGTAGAAAGAAAACAACCCTTTTGCTTTTATATCTCTATCTAAAGTCAGTGACTATATTAATTAAATTCTTTGTTTGTGATTGTGAGTACTAGACCTTTGGTTGTTGGGTAAGGATTAAGGAACTAGCTGTGGCTTAAGTTGAATCAACATTTTGTAATCTGGGTCATATTGTACACGCAGATTATGCCTGATTGGACATGGCAAGAGTTCCAAATGCAGAGACTTGGAGCTGCTCAAAACTGCTCTGCACCAGGAGGGGTAATTTCGTGATCACTGATGCTGTCCTTCCGGAGAAGGTATAACTCCTAAGCTCTTCATTCGTGGTTTGCGCTTTGGATTCCACTCTGAGAAGTGGCTAGAGTAGTGGGAGTAAATGATGTCTCGTTATAATATCTTGAACTAATATTACGCTGCAGAAAGACTGGAGGGAGGATGGAATAGTTTAGCCCGGTTAAGAATCAAGTTATGCTGGATCATATACCACACTCTAACACACCGCCTCAAACAAAAGCCAATCTATGTGCTTAAGTTTGCACAGGCCCACCATACATTGTGCTTTTTAATCAACTGTTAATATTGGGGGTCGTGGAGATTCGAACACACAACCACTTGGCCAAGCTAACTCTGATACCATGTCATAAACCAGTTGTTCCCAATAACTCAAGTTGTTGGGAGAAGTTTATGCTGGATCATATATCACACTCTAACATTCAGGATGTGAACCATGCGGTTATGGCCGTCGGGTATGGAGTTGAAGACGGCGTACCATACTGGCTCATCAAGAACTCCTAGGGAGGAGATTGGGGGGAGAGTGGTTAATTACTTCAAGATGGAAATGGGGAAGAACATGTGTGGTAAGTTAACTTCCCTACTGTACCTACTACGACGACTGCACTGTTATTCCATTCAATGCGGTGCTTCTTCCAATGGACTCATTTTGGGTTTGGCATTGTCTTCTTGACTGCAGGTGTTGCCACTTGCGCTTCATATCCGATTGTTGCATAAGTCTGCGCGAGAAACCGGTGAGAAGGTGGTTGATGGTTACTTGATGAGCCAAGAGGCCCGACCTGTGGCTATGTTGTAGATATTTAAGTTCAAGAACTTGGTCGTTTGTACCAATGGTATCCGAAACCCAGGGGGTTGCTCTGTAGTCTGTACAAAATAATAACCCACAGAAAAGAACACTCGGTGTAAATCTCATGTATTATTGAATGGTGTCATGAACTGAAACCTTTGCGGCATTGCGCTCTGTTTAAGAAGAAAGAGGAGGAGAAAATTGGGGTTGGAGGAAAATTGTGAGGAAGTGAAAGTTTTAGAATAATAAAATAATGAGAAAAAAATAGTATTAAAGGGGAAAAGATATCCAACAAGAGACAAATGATTTTCATTCCAAATATTGGGCAATTGCTATAACTTTTCCCACCAAATAATCACTTTTTTACATCCACCAAATAATCACTCATGTATTGTTATTGTAGTAAAATTTATGAACAAAGGAAAAAGTTTCAACTCCCTCCAATTTTTCCAGTTTTCTCCCACCTCTATTTTCTCTCCTTAATGAACAGAGAATGAAGTAAATGGATTATGAGGGCAGAAAGTGGGTCAGAAACGTCTCTTACCTGGTTATAACCTTGTATGACCAGTTCTTGTAGGATCAATTTATAAAACTGATCCATCCTGTCCATGTTTCTTCTTTGATCCGGTCTGATTTGCTCGGGGTAGGCCAAACTTGGCTGACCGTGTCGGTTCAAATCAATCAACAAATTATATTTTTAAAAATTACATTTTGATATCCAAATTTTTTTCTTACAATTTACCACGTGGACAATTTTTTACCAATAGGTCTAGAAATTTTGGAGATAAGATTTCCCACAACTTTAAGGGCTGAGATCAACTTAAACAAAAACAAGTAACAAAGGAGACTTGATCTTACCCAATTGGACTGAACATTTCAGCCCTGGTCCTTTCAGTCGCGGAGGAAGCCTGAGAGGCGGAACAGCAAGGGCTGGTCTAGCATTCTAACGAGATTTAACGAGATTTGAGTGCGAAACTCTGCACAGAAAATTAGTCCATGACATTTCCCACAGCTTTCTGTGGAGGGATGCTGGAAGAATGACCAACTAATTATAGCTAAAATTGTACTCTTTAAGATCAGCTTGTATTATGTGAAACTGGCGGTAGGACAATATTCCAAGTTCCAAGAGAGGTTATTTCTACCTGGTATCTACAACTTGAGGAGACACTTTCTCGAAGTTCATTGCAGACTGTTCTCCATTTATTAATAATGGTCTTCATTAATGGCCAACAACGTCGTCTCAATTCTTCTTCTTCTGCGCGTCCCAATCAGTGTAGGATCAGGGACGTGAAGTATATACGTACCATATTCATTATAGACATCTGTACAAGTATACAAATACAGTTGTTTCGTCGCAAAATTGGCCGACTTGCGTTTACTTGCAGCCGTCCTCATCTTCATGTTCTTTGCTGCAAACGTAAATAATCCCTCAGTTTCGATTTCACCGTGGAATACGTAAAATGGCGGCGCAAGAGATATCCAATGCAAGCTGCCATTGCAAACAGAGCTTTTGCTGGCCTTCTCGCTGCGCGCTTATCACTGGCCTGTGGATTCTTGATGAGCATAACATGATTCTTCGTCTAAGAGTTCCCCTCTAATTCCTCATGCAGTTGTCGCCTTGGGTATAGAACCACTGCCATTAACAAAGAGACTGCAAGACCGACCACCCCGCTAAAAGGTTGGAATGGATGAGTCCCTGCTACCCATAAAGGCAACGTGTACTTGTACGTCAAGAATCCACCTCTCTGAAGAACATAGCTTGAAGCCATTATCCCAGCACGTACCCCAATCACCACAGAAAGGCTGCCTTGGCTTCTTTGTCGTAACCCTGACAGGGCCATAGATAGAAGCCACAGTGCTGGCACTGCCAATGGAGACCTGGCAACCAATTGGTGGAGAGAAATGGATTAAGAGGCCAAATTTCTAATGAGATACGTAAACTCGAGGGACCGAAAATGAACGAGCGTATTGGTTCTGCTAAAAGGATAAGTGGACTGCTAAAATGAAGGCCTGCAGAAGACAAATCGATAAGTGACAAGAAGAGAGCAATTGGAGATTTTGGCTGGGGTTGCACACCAAACAATACCTCTGGGAAAGAGCATATAAAAGTCCCGAAATGACAATTCCTTGATGAAACCCAAGATCCAAAGCAATTTCTCCGGGCAGCCACGATCTGAAAAACAATTCTTCAACGAGCACAACGCCAGCTGCTGATAGGATGCCTTGTAGGGCAAGCAAAACCATTTGGCCGTACAGTTTCAGATATGCTACGACAAGATTCGTAGAAGATGGGTGCCTTGCAGGCCAAGAAAAACTCACACAGCCCAGATATACATTTACAGATTGTATCAGTAAAACAAGTGCCATCCCTCCAGCTAAGGCCTTGAAAAAGCTTTGGATCTGCAAGATATGGCCATAAGATGAGACTATTTCATAGGCACAGAAGATGAAGAAGTTTTGCCACTCGTCATGCAAGTGAATAAGAGATGAAAAATAAGGAGCAAAAGTCAAGGAATCGAAAGGTTTGGTGTTAAGGCAAATCTATAGACTTGTAGCAAAATATCCAATAATGTAGAGAGATGCTCTACGGGCTATGATATTCAGAGCTAAAATTTGGTGCATTTACTTTGTTTAGTATGAACAATATGGAAACTTTACAAAACGATTATATAACCAGTGGCACATAATAGAATGGCTTAAAATCAGAATGAACTCTTCAACTTAACAAAAGAAAGCTTGAAAAACCAACCTTGCTCTATCTTATGACAAGCTAAGTTAAATTTTTAATGCAGACATAATAAAAACAAGGGTAGGAACCCAAGTTCATAAATCTGAGTATCCGCAATCAGAAGTGTAATTTCAACATTGAAGCCTGATTGACCCAAAATTTACACATCGTAGATATCAGGTTTATTACTTCTTATAATAATAAATGGATGCTGGTCACCGAAATAACAAAGTGACTTCTACTGGCTTCTGAAATAAACCAACACCTCTACCATCCAAAATGAGATAACCTACTCCAAAACAACACATGATAGGCTGCAAAAGCTAGAGAAAGCATGCAGAGATAATGAAGCCATACAGCTTCTCTAAGAACACGTACGCTCTCTAACAAACAATATTTTGATTACCTTGGACAATGTCGTCAAATCCAGCCCATATTGTTTCAGTGGAAATTCATGCCCACGTAGCTTTCTGCCCCAAATGATAACAAGCATCAAAATAGCAGCATAGAGGCCAAGAATTGAAACAAGCTCCGCAAATCTGGATGGAGTGCCAGATGTCCAGCTCTGCACCAGTGTTGGAAGCAATGGAATAACAACTGGCGACCATAAAACAAGAGCCATGCCCACAAATCCCAGAATCCTGTAAATAAAAAACGTGTGAGACAGAAATTGACACATACGAATATACTGTTAAAATACACGGTGTTATGTATTCTAACAATGTTTAGGTTAACCCAAAGGTTAAAAAATTGATCAAACTCCTTGCAAATCAAAAACTGCATGCTCGCGTTACATGAACTCTTTCAATCCCACTGGCACATGATTTCTTGAAATTCGTGTATTTTATATTTACACCAATTGCTTACCAAGTGACGCCTAAAAAACTTGTCCTCAATTTATCTGGTAAAAGATGGAACATATAAATTATACACACATGATATAAGTACATAGAACTAAGAAGAGCATTGGCCACACATCTTCAGATGGAAAATACTACAAAATCATCTTGATGGTGCAGGCCGTAATTTTGTCGCATATATCCTGGATAATAGATAGCCTCACTCGCCATCACATCTGCCACTATATTCAGTAGCTCTTTGTCATATGACACTACTCCATAAGTAGGAGAATATTAGCATACTTTCCATTTGAAGCAAGAACAATATTACAGCCAAAAACATATCTAGTAACACCAACAAATAAGACATGAAATATGCAGGGTTTGTCTAAGTCATATGGCAAGACAAGCATCAAGCAGGCAAGACTACTTTCACTTCATTTCTTAGCGGAAGAGCATATTAAACTTATTAGCAGATTTTCCCAATTTTGACTCACTCAAATGACGATAAACACCTGTGTAAAAAAATGGATTTCCCACAATACCAAACTATTCACCAATCATCATATGACCTTTAGAAGCAAGGTCACGCAGGGGGCCCTCCAGTAATTACCACAAGAGTTGCTGACGCTCAAGCACTGTTTCACCACTATGAATTACCTTTGGTGTAAGGGCCGGTCAGCTAAGTGCAAGAAAGAGATAAGCCTCTCAGTCAGGCTCATAGCTCCACGTAGACCACCCCACAGCAGAGCAAGCTTCCCAACCAAACTCAAAATGCCACCCTTTTGACCCAAATCAGCTAACATAGCAACCAACCTGTAGAGAGTTGAAACACATACACATCATAAGAAAACGCATATCAGCTATTCTGAACAAAGGCACAAATATAGACTATTAGTAACCTTTCTTGATCCACTCCACCATCTTCCTTCGTAGGAACTACTGGACCAGCAACTGACATCGCTTTCTCAGCAAAGCTTGCAACAATGTTGTTTTGATCCTTTTCAGACAATTCACCATCAAGCTTTTCTGATGCTATTTGGGGACTTACTCTCTCCTTCAAGTACTTGGCCGATGTTTCCTCTATTTCATTGTCATCCTGCGGAATTTGAATTAAGTGGTCTCAAAAACCATCATCATGCCAGTCCGGAAATTTGAAAGAAAACAGAAGTGGCAAGTGATGGGTTGCTCTTTTTTGCACAAACGCACACACAGAATCATATGTAAGGAAAACATCCATACAGCACAATATTAATACTTAGATGATGCAGATCCTATCCACATACAAGATACTTCAGTTATCCATGATATGATCTTGCCACCTCATGGGACAAAAGTACATTCAACCCTAGAGGACTTTGAGCTGGTTGGTACTTAAATAAGAAGTTGACAATGATAGTTTTAATTTTTCCCTGGGTCTGTTAGCCTAATTTTTCCGACCATCATAAGTGTCATGAACTCTAAAGCAACATATAAGAGAAGCTTTAATACATTCACAAAGCAATGGCAGTCTATAAACCTTGAAAAACAGTTCCAACTAGGTCCACACAGTACATTATAAAAAAAAAACAGAGGGTCCACACAGTAGGTCTGAATGATGATTAGTTAATTTACACACACATGAAAGAATACGTGAATGGATCGTCATCCTTTAACACAGCAAGATTCTTAACTAGTCGGGAGAAATATTAGATTATCATACTCAAGAATCAATTAATTGCCATTACCTGTTGTCCTAGAAAAGCTGAAGCTCCAAGGGCAGCGGTAACAGCACCCACCATAATGCTGTCATTGTCTATGTTCTTCAATACAGCTTCTTCACCCTTTCTATTTCTTGTATGGTTCAAACTAGAAACTCCAAGATCATCTGCAAGCTTTAGATCCTTCTTACTAGTATTCATTTCATCTTGGCAGTTTTCCAGAGAACTTTCATTTTGATCATATGGTTCCAGATCATTATTAGGTCCTGTAGCTACGTCAAAATGTTTTTTCAATGCAGCTAAGCAACAACCTACTATGACCCCCACCGGTAAGAGTCTTCTTAAATAGGTTGTTCCTGAGACAGAAGATGATATGGCACTCACAATGCTTTCTGCATGAAGGACACCGTGCCTTTCTGAATTATAATCGACCTTATTGTTTTCATCATGGACGTTCCAGATATGATCCTTGCCATGCCCAACGGACAAAGATACAGCATCAGCCACTAGTTCAATATCACTTCCAAGATCAGGCTTCATTTTTCTCACGTCAGCCACACTCAGCTTGCGGCCAACCTCAACCTTTAGTGCATCCAGGATAATGTGCTTCACAGAATGTATAAGCTCTTCTGTCTTGACGCTAACATCTCCTGCCTTCCTTTTTAGGTTGTCCAAAACCTTATATTCTCCAACAGGCTGCTGACGTGTCTCAGTATCTAACACAACATAGGAAGGTTCAATAAAATCATCTCCTTTTTTCACCTCCGCATTCAATTGGACCTTAACCTTTCGTTGAACAACATTACTAGTTGAAGCAGTTTTCCTCAACTGTCCAACATTCACATGTTGTTCCAAAAGCTTCCATTGGCCATCTTCTGGAAAATAGTCAAGTAATAAAGCAGCAGTTGGGTCAACATCCAGTGGTTTGGTTTTTGGCATCTTAGCTAGAAGATATTTGTTGAGGTGAGCATTCTGCAGGTAGTCCTCATATAGGTGTTTGTTCACACGCAAAGGAATATCTCTCACATTGCTATCGTCCAAGTCAGTTGTACTTCTAATACCAAATAACTGTTCCTTTTCAATCTCGCTTCTGTAGTTATTAACAACCCTCCCAGAGTTACTAGAAATGTTGCCACTCGAAATTAATGTATCCATTTTAGGTCTCGCCTTTGAACCATCGTAACCTGCTCCAGCCTGTGCTGATGGCCGATCAACATTCAGCGGTTCACTAGAACCAGAATCATCAAATTCATCTTCAGTATCATTTCCATCATTGGCATGATCTTTGTTATCCTGATCCTCTTGAAATTGGTCAATCATATTTTCAATCACACCAAAGACACTGTTAACTGCTACTTGAGTGGAATCATCAATTCCTGCAAAGGCATCCAGGGCTTGAACGACATTGAAGGTGGGGGTATTGGAATCGGGAAGGGCAGACTTGTTTTGAATCGGTACAGGCTGTTCGCTTATGCTATCTCTCTTCTGATCATCAATGCCTTCCTTTCCAGACTGTTGAGGCTCAGGAACTCCTGCAGACGGACTGCCGCCGTCACTAATATTGGAAGGTGTCACCTCACTCTGCTCACTAGAAGACTCCATGGTCGTCTTTTCATGAGAATTATTATCCTTTCTCGTTTCTGGCTCAGGTGATGATTCATCATCATGGAGCAATTTGGTATCATTGGAAGTGGCATCCTTGACACTACCAGCCTTTTCAGGAACAGACTCCAGACTAGCTTCCAATCCCTTATCCTTACTCTCGGCAAACGAAGCAGCTTTTTCTCTAGTGACTGGCTCAGGTGATGATTCATCATCATGGAGCAATTTGGTATCATTGGAAGTGGCATCCTTGACACTACCAGCCTTTTCAGGAACAGACTCCAGACTAGCTTCCAATCCCTTATCCTTACTCTCGGCAAACGAAGCAGCTTTTTCTCTAGTGACTCCATCACTAGTATGATTATTTTCAGATTCATTTGCTCCCATTGTAGGGGGACCACGTATATCACCATGCTGATTTGTCATACTTTGAGACTGACCTAAGTCAACAGATTTCTGCAAATTATCAGAAGACAGAAGCTCTGGGTCTAGACCACCACCAGACTGGTCAATCCCCGATTGATTGTCACCGACATCATCTGTTACACTATTTGTCTTATTCATCTCATCTACAGCAATGTCTTTTGACATGCTGTCAGAACTTGCTTCTACTTGCGTGGTTGACTTCAACCCTGAAGATAGAGCTGGTATCTTACCTTCACCACTACCCATCAGCCCATCAAGCTTTAACTTCATACGATTAGCTTGCAGAATTCCTGATGCAGCTGCAGTAAGCTTTCCGCGAACTTCTTCTGGTACAGCACCTTCCAAGGCTTTCAAAAGTGTCTCTCCTCGACCTACAGCAGACAAGACCTGCACACAGGAAGCACGAAAGTTCTGCTGAATGGCTAATGATACAACAACCAGAAGCAAATTAGAGATTTCCCATAAATTCTGCAAAGACCTGCACCATCTAAGGATAACAGCGAGACGTCAAGAAATCACTAGGTCTATCAAATTTGTTCAACTATGACAACTTCAAATATGTACCACTCAGTTTGCTAGATGTTTGATATCTTGTATTTGAGCTCATCCTAACTTATTCATTATAAAACAGATATTACTTTTGGATAGAACAACCAATCATTAGGTCCATCAGTGGTTTTATGTACCAAGGAAAAGAGATAAGAGAAGCCTTCTTTCCCAACTAATTCTGCAATCTCACCAATGCAAAAATCAAATGCAATGTCCAATGAATCTGAATTCTGGAGCCATGTTGTATGAATATTGAATATCCACATATGCTAAAAAGGGTAACAGTGAACTAAAAACAAACACTGATCTCAAGCAATTCAGCCTTACCTTCTTTCTTTCATCCTGCGCAAGAGCACCGGGCATTGCAGTGTCCAGCATTTTCATTACTACCTGTGCTGTCTGTAACACTTCGCCTCTTTCAGCATCCACAGGTATAGCTGACTCATCTTCCATCAGGTCTGTTTCTACAGTAGTTCTCTGTCTAACCTGGCCTTCTTCTCCCTGTAATCCATCTTCGATTTCCATATCTTTGTCATAATGAAGTATTGATCCTGAATTAAGCCCATCACTGGTAGAGCTACCGTCAGGCAGCTGATTGGATAGACTCACAGCATACCCATTGGTATCAGTTACAGTAAGATCCAAGAGTTCTTTATTCTCTCCATGAATGTCAACAATTGCCCTTTCTCTACGACTTAAACCTGTTGATAGGTTGACGGTAACATCTAAATCATCAAGAAGTGGATGACGCCCCTTCAAGAGTCCGAGCTCCACGGCTGTGAGCCACTGCACATTTCATAGACACAGTAACTAGATTACCACTTGTAGTTATGGCCAAACTAAGAAACCAGGTAGCCCCGGACAAAAAAGATTCTGAAATAAGACAATGGCAGGCATCTATCAACCACTCAGTGAATGGCTTCATGTTTGAAATACCAGCGCTGGTCCCTGTGCATGTAAATTTAAATATATTGCCTTCTTATGAGGAACTTTACTAATAATTGAAGACGTCCAAAATTCGTCATGTAATTACTCAAATGAGACATTGAAAAGTAAGCCGATTATCAGTAAATGATACACAATCATAACGTGAACTTTTGAAATCAAGAAAATGATATCAATAAATGTATGGCAGAAAATAGCTAAATGATATGCTGGTCAACAAATCCCTAGGAAAAAAAAATTCATGTTGTCTTCTCAACAAAGAAGATTTGTCACCTCTAATGTAAGGTTTTGGCACCATAACTGAGCTGCTCTGTTGTTTACTTTGGTCACATGCGGTGAGCATGAGCATAGAAGAAGGTTTGTACAAGGATTTTCTGCGATTGAACTGCGTGGAATGGAGAAGAGCGGGACAGCACCATCATCATTCTGATATTTTGCGAAGTTGCAATTGATTAGATTCTGGGAAGTGAAAGTATACAACAAAAAGAACGGCAGTAACAGAAAAAAATTGCACCTGGATAAAGAGCACAGGAATCTTCACATGCTTGACCAAACCTGAAGTGCTTGATTTAGAATAAAATTCTTCTATTTCTTTGAAACCATAAGACACCATAGATATTGCTTTCTCAAAATCACGAACGGATTTTGCCAATAAGGCTTTCTCCACATTAAACCCTTTTGCTTTACCTTGAAACAGTCCCTGCACAATATTTAATAGCCCACTCACTACCAAAACGATTCATCAACGGACTGCATGAAATTATGTCATATTTTGCATTATGCACAAGTTATCGTCAAATTTAGCAGCTTATGCATGTTATTTCCCCTCATCTTCTGAAAGATGCTCCAATGATAATTTGAAGGTCAAGTTTGAAGTCAATCCTCTAACCTTGTTAGCCCGTAGTATATCAACCAGCCCACCAGTGAGCTTCTCATCCAAAGCGACATGATAAGGAGAGCACCTTGTGGCCTCATCCAAGTCAAAAGGGTTATTAATACAAGTGGCAGCTGTAATTGGAGTTCTATCCCCGACTTCTCCCAGATATTTTGTCAACATGCTTGCACCATAACCCCAGCCAACAGCCATGATTGTAGTCCATGGTCTTGCCTTGGTGATGAAATGTACAACTGTGGATATATCATCGCTGTCAGCAGCTGAAAACAACCTACATGAAATAAAGCAGTTAAGAAGCTCTACTCTCAGCTTCTTCTGGCATCAAAATGCTGGAACCTGCTATATACTGTTCTCTCATTTGCCCATATCACACTCTAATTCTTCTATTTTCAACTAAAAGCTGTGATTTCGATTTTCAGCTGAACAACACAAAGCAGATTAGTCCGAGGTTCTATCACTATCACACCAAAGCAGATTCTCCATCCTGCAAGCCGTTTCATTTTGCATTTTTGCTTCAAATTCCTTAGTTGAAGACGTTGCGTACCTGGCAGTGGTGAGCGGAGAACCAGCGCAGCCTCTAGGATTCATAACAATGGGAAAGAATCCGCGGCCCAGGGATTCACAGACGAATGACCTAACGCTAGGATCCATGCTCCCGTCCGGTGTCCCCGGCACCAGCAAGAAAGTCGTATCCAGTCCACGCTCCTCCTCCAGGTCCAAATTCGACGGCCAATCGATCGACACAACGCCGCCGTCCTCCGCACTCACACAAACTCTCTGGTACTCCAGTTTATCCACCAGAGAGCCACCACTGCCAGCATCCTCCTCGCCGAAAGTCCCTTGAATTCTCCCGCTGTTCAGGCGCACAAAATGCCTGTCCTGCTCCACCAATTTCTCATTCACCCCCTCCAGCAACTCGCTCCCTTCAAACGATACGGAAGGGCACCGCAGAATCACAAACCTGTTAAACGGCGTCGGGCTGGTGAACAGAATCCACTCGCCGACTTCAGGAGACTTGTCCCTGGACTTCCGTCCAGCGAGGTAGAGCGTCAAACCGGAGGCGAGGCCGATGGCGGGAGCGAGAAGGTCGAGGGAATTCGAGGAAGGGAACTGAGTGAGGAAGCTCTGGAAGGGGTCCAGCAAGCCGGCGCAGAGCACGAGCGTTCTGGCCGCCGATTTGTGACGGCGGCGGCGGTAGAGATGGAGCTGGCGGGTTCTGGCGGGGAATTTGTGGTGGTGGAAGTGGAGGAGGTTGGCGTGAGGCGGCGGCTCGAGTTGAATGGCGGACTTCATCTGAAGCAGAGGAGAGAATCGGGGGATTTCGAACAGACTAGGATTGGCCGGAGCGAGAGAAAGGAGTATGCTACGGAGACTTGGAAAATAGGCAAAAAGTTGATAATGACGGTGACGGTTGCGGTGGAGGAGGGGGCGGAGGTGGTGGCCGCTGGTTGTGATGTGATTGAGAGCTTAGCCGTGAAGCTGGAACGGACGGTTTTGGTTGATCCGAGAATGGGTCCAAAGATTTTGAAGTCCGATCGAGAAGGAGGGTAGCTGCCGCCATCGCCAAGAAAATTGGGGAAAAGGCTGAGCGAGCTATCGAGCATGTGGATGCTTCCAGATTTTCTTCCTCGGGAAAGAGTACGACGCATCCTTCTCATTTGACCTCACATACGAAACGGCGACACGTGGCTTTTTCTAGTTTTTCTTTCTTCCATCGTCGACGTGGTTTGATTTGTGTTTTTTACTTTTTAGCACAACAACGAAGGTCATGTTTGTGTATCAGGGCCTATATCAAGCCCATGGACATTAGATAGGTAGGATACGACCCACAAACATTTCGTGCATGTACGGATTTGTGTCTAGCTCGTCGACCCTGTACTCGTATCGTGCCTTAGATGTGTTGGATCGGGCCGGCCCATCAGGTATATTCAAAGCACAAGCCACTCTTACGTTTTTTTAACGATGGCAAGCCCCCTCCCTCCAATGTTTAATTTTAAACACAAGTCACATCGAGGAGTCACATAAAGTCTCGTGAATATAGGGAGATACAAAATTAGGCTGAGTTTTTTTTTAGGGGTAACCTGCAGATGTATATTAATTAAGAACCAGCGATTACATCATCAGTCTGAGCTGGTCAACTAGGAAAATTGGTGGTCTATCGACCCACATCTCTCTACTACCCCAACGGGTCTCACTATGTGCCATAATATGTGCTACGTTATTCGCCGAGCGTCTCACATGGATAATCCAGTTTGTATTCGACCTCGTCGCCTCTTGCAGTCGATGATTATTTAGCTTCAATCGAATTTTCAGAAGTGTAAACAAGTTTTCTCTACTGTCTATCACACCACAGGGCCGTCCCATGATATTCGGAGGCCCTGTTCGAAAATTTAAAATGTGGCCCTGAAATTTGTCTCCACAAATTTATTAAAAATAAAAATTATTAAATAATTATAAAAAAATGCATAGTCTCAGAAAATGATTACAAAAGAAATAAATGATCACGTTTCTAGTTTGACGAAGAAACCAAAACCAAATTCCCAGGGCTGTCTAATGCTTCGTGGGGGCCTTGTTCCAAAATTGAGACGTGGTCTAAATTGACTTTTAACTATAATAAAACTAAAATGACTGTAATATCTTTCTACATAGTTTAAAATAAAATTAGGGTAATGTCTATTTTTTATCCAAATCTTTTTCAGATTCTTTTATATTATACAAACCTATTAAAAATTTATTAATTAGCCAAATCTTTCATAATGCACCAAAATATTAGTCATTTTTACGTTATTGTTAATAATTCTGTAACTCTTTTCTTAGTTAAAATACTAAAATTTTGGAATCTTGACCTTCATGTATCTCTTCCAAGTCAGTATCATGTTGTCAAGTTAATATTACTAACAAAAATGCTAACCGAAAGTTAACATTCGGCTAATTTTTAGTATTTCGACAGGTTTGGATATTATAAAAGAATCTGAAAAATGTCTGGATAAAAAATAGACGTTACCCATAAAATTATCTATTATCTTTCTTATTTTCGTAGTCTTCATGGTATCATTTTTAATTGTTATTATAGCTAAAATTATCTATTAAAATCGTCATCATACTCATAATCAATCAATCATATACTAAAAATACAATCTACAATATTCAATCGGTAACTAACGGATCTAAGTGGAGGCCCCTAATATTCGAAGGCCCTGTGCCGGAGGGCGGGCCAGCACACCCTCTAGGCCGGCCCTGTCACACCAGAAACTCTTCAAAGTGTGTTTTATGAAGTTGGGATTTGAATGTCTTCTTTCTTCTCCAATCTTCTTTATGTTCGTGTAAGATTTAAAAATGACGATCAAGAGCTTCTAAGACTATAAGTGTTAGATGATTTTAACATTTTGGCTTCCAAAAAATGGTTTTTGCTCCAATAAGACCATCTTCAACCCAAACTCAAAAATACCAAAAAGTGGATGAAGTGTGCTCAAACTCAAGTCCATGCTCAAACTCAAGTCCAAAAAACTCAAAAATGCAAAAAAACTGACAATGTTTGGGCCAAATTTGGCTCCCAATCTGCCAAAAAAGTGGAAAACCAATATGCCTCCACCATCTATCGAAGATGACGCGGCGGTCGGGGGTGGGGTGGGGGAGTATGCCACGCAAGATAGAGACAACGACCACCACGCCTGTAGGGAACTCTCCCCCCTCCCTCTGCGACACTTTCACTTTAAAGCAACGTTGTATACTTAAAAAATTACAGTGACTGCCCCAATTACTATCCAACGGATCTTTCAAGCTTCGATTAATTTCCAACAACTCCTTCAGGCCAAACAACTAGTTTTTTCAATTTTATCGACACCACATTTCTTCACTTATTCTTCATCACTTTCATATTTTTATTGCCTTTTCATCTCGTACAGATCATCTTATTCCCACTAAAAACATTCTCTTTTCCCAAACTCTTCATCATGTCTCAATCGAATCGCCCTCTAAATTGGATTGAGCTTGAAGATGCAGTTCTATGCAAGACACGGATTGAAATTTCCGAGGATGGTTTGGTAGGTCATTATCAATCTATGACTGAATTCTGGAGGCGATCTGGAGTCAAATTTGCTTCAAATGGACGTGGGATTGCACGTACTAATGGGGACTTGATTTCTCTATGGGAGATCATTCTCCATCAATGTGGGCACGTGAAATGCGACATCAAGAGGGGCAAGCGCAACACCAATGAGAGGCGAGAACTTAAGTAATGAGATTAGTCTCCATCTTATGTTTATTACCATGCATTTAATTCTTAATTATTTATTTAGTTTACTTGTTGAAATAATTGGATGAATTTGTGTAGTTTGAACGAAAATAAATTTTGTAGCGGACACCAGAAAATATTTCAAGTTGAAGCATTGTTGGGATATAGTCCAACACTCCCCAAATTTTATGCAACAATTTATTGTCCCCGTATCACCAATCATACCAATGGATGGATCTTCATCAGCAGTACCATCTGGCATCTGGCGAAAGTAATATCCCTGACATTCAACCAAGCGGGACTCCATTGTGATCAACCATCCTGAAGGTCGAGATAAGCAAAGGAAGAAGAAAAAAGAAACTCCATATTCTTCCACAGAAAGTTGGGACAAGAGTATGACCAATTTAGTGGAGAATTCAAACACGCACATAAGGTTAGCAATCGCTAGCGAGGTACGTGAAGTTGAGAGGTTAGAAAGAGCTAAAGCAAGAGAATCAAGGGAGAAGAACAAACATGATTATGAAGATAATGAATATGGATATCTCTTAACATAGTCCTCGAACTAAGGCTTGGCATCAAAAACTAAAGGATGATATTGCAGCTCGTACCAAGATGCTCTGGGAGGATCCACTTATAGCCTAAATGATGGCTCTTACTATGGTTGATTAATTAGAGGGTTGCTTTATTTTGAGTATAATTTTTAAGTAGTATTGAGTGTATTGTTTTAAGTAGTTTGATTCATGGTTCATGTATGTTTTAATTCTATTGTAATTCCAACTACTATCTTCACTAAATCGTAGGGAATACAAAATTTAAACTGGGGAATACTTCAAGAAAACAAAGAAAATACAGAAATAAAACATAGGGAATCCATCACATTTCTACTCTCCTCTTTGTTTGTCCATGCTCGATCAAATCATCTCTCAATACTTGATGTGCGGGACAATCACAAATCCTATTGTGTCTTGCCATGTAATCCATGACAGTGAAAATGTTGTGGTCAGGTGGATATCATGTGACATTTGCATTACTATCGTATTCAATGTTCTCCATTACACCATCCACATACTCATATCATTGATCTTCCGCAATCATATTATGCAGAATAATACAAGTTAACATAATCTCACAAAGTGTTTGAACGTTCCATAAATTACTTGACCCTCTCACAATATCCTACCTTTGTTGTAGCTAGTATGCCAAAGGCCCTTTCAACATCCTTGCGGTAAGCCTCTTAGTACTTTGCAAACAACTTCTTCTTCTGGTTTCTTGGATTACTAATAGTCTTCACAAATGTAGCCATCTCCGGGTATATTCCATCAACAAAGTAATAACGTTGATTGTACATCTTGTCATTTACCTCATAACTCACCTAGGGACCAGTCCTCGTACTACTTGATTGAATAGTAGGGATACTCCAAGAGTATTGATGTCATTTTTCAATTTAGGTGTTCTGAAGAAGGCATGTCAAATCCAAGTGGCGTACGATGTTAAAGCTTTGAGTACAATGGTGGGTTTCTTCTTGTGCCTAGTGTGGCCTGCCCGTCTAGTCAGACAGTTCTTCCACTCCCGATGCATGCACCCAATAGATCCAATCATCCAATCATGCCGGGAAAGCCATGTTGTGCAGCATGATGAAGGAGGCGGCAAGTATTTTCAACTGTTGGTGCATGAAAGTACCGAGCACCATTAATGTTGGTGATATCCGAGTAGAAATTCCTCAGCAGTTCATGACCTTGCTCTCATCCATTCGACATTACTCATCCAAACAGTATGTTGAGCATCCATATATGCAAGCATGCGGAAAGCACTAGTAAGCTTTTGGTGTGGGGAGAGTGAGTCGCGACCTAAAGCATCTTTCTTTTGCTGAAAGTAGGCATCGTACTGAACAACATCATTCATGACTCGGTTGAATAAGGTGGGGCATCTGATACCACCTTGTGAAAGCCCTAGCGTCCTAGGTTGGATTTGAGATGAAATAATCTTACATCAAGTACTTGTTACTGTGGTCCTTCTTACGTCTCACTGATTTTGGTGATGATGAACTGTCGCGAGATGAAGTTGCTTGATGCTGATGAAAATGATTTGTGTACATCATGAACATCTCCATACGTTCACGCTCAAGTTGACACTCATACTCCCATTGATTATCATCGATTTCTCTTTGCCTCTCATCAGCTTCTCTACCAAGAGAATCCATGAAACAGAAAGAGTTGTTTTGGCTAGAGAAACGAATTAAAGAAGGTTGAATGGTTTTATCGAAGAATGAAGGTTGGATGGTGGGTGAATATAACGACCAATGATGAGGGTTGATTTATAGAAACCCAAAAGGATTTCTTCTGCAATAATGTGTTCAAAGTTGGATGAATAGTTGATGGCACAATTCATTCTTATCAAAGTGGAATGAA